CACGGAGGAGCGGGCGTTGCATCGCATTTTTCTTGATATACACGTTTCAAGACCCCCGTTTTGAAATTCATCACGGGAAGCTACTTCATACAACGCGGCCTGGATGAATTATGTCGCGGCGTACCTCCGCCGCCTATCTTCGTTTTTCGGTAGTGGTAATCCCGGCCCGCGCACGTGCTCCTGAATTTCGAGGTTTAAATTCGCGGGGCGACGTTTCGAGTATGCGACCGCGGAACGTACGCGAGCCGCAGGCCCCCGTATCTCGCCGTGAAATAATTTCCAAGCGTCGCCAAACCCGCGATCCACGGATATATTAACGGCCACTTTACGTCGCAACGATTAACCGCCAACTTCCCTCCTCCCCGCGTACGTACGTATTAATCCTGCCTTTCTCATTTTCGTTTTAATCCAAATTTCTTGACCCCTTGAATTTCTAGCAATTTCACTCGTCTTAGGCTCGACCAGGATCCGACCGTTTTTTTTAACTTTGTTAACTGCTTGACCGGCTATCGTTTTAAATTAAGAGGAGGGGAGATATTATCTGTCGGCGAAATAACGACGATTTCCAGAGAAAGAAAGAAATTGGAGATAGAAAGGTGTCGAAGAAGATGGCGTTTAAATCGCGGTGAGATCGGTTTACGAGACGAAACCGCGGTTAGATCGGTGCCTTCTCCTCTTCTTTTTCTTCTTTATCGTGGCGCGAGTAATAAACGCGGTAATAAACGGAGACGAAGAAATTAACATTGTGGCAAATTGCGTTTCGCAATGGGCGAAACGAAGCGGGAACCCGTTATCACGGCTGGCAAACGACTTCGATACAGGGACGATAATGTAAATACGGGACAGTCCAAGGCGTTTATCGTTGTTTCGACCAGGTTCACGCGCCCCTCTTCGCGGGGATTGACGACCTCTGCCATTCGAGGTATAAGGTATACATACGCAATTTAGTCTCGGGTTATAAATCATGGTCCACCTACGTCCTGTAATTTCTTTTTGGATCATAAATCAGCTACGCCTCGACACCCATACGCGCGCACCGTGTACAGGAGACGGTGCGTGTACCAGCGATGAGAAGATGTGAAAAGTTAGGTAGGTGTATCTGTTGCACGATCTTTTCAACCGTCATTAAAAACCCTCGGCCCTTCGCTCTTCTTATTCGCCCTTGTATCGCGGTACACGCAGGTGTCGAGTTTATCTCCGATTTTCTTTAAAAAGGACGCTTCCGAAATCCATCTTTTTTTTTTTTTTTAATCGTCGTCAGCTCTTTTCCTTTCGTCGCGAATATCTTATTGTTATTACCTTACGCACGAGGTAGAGAGCGATTTCGATTTCGAAAAGGCGTTTCGAATTCCTTTAAAGATTCCATCTTTGATAGAAGTTGACCGTCGAATTAACGTTTAAGGAAACGTTTCGTTCGAAAGATCCGATCGACGATAATCTCGATCGGAGACCAAGAGGTTAAAGAAGAAGCCGCTTCGAGAAATGACCGGGGGACGAATTAACAGAGGGATATCGCTCCATTAATATCAATTTTATTGTCGCGATTGGGGAAGCGCGTGCGCAGGTCGTCACGCACATGTTTATAGCGACAATATTTTAATATACCCTCTTCCCGTCCCGCCCGTTCCTCGAACACGATGGACTCGATCACCTCCGAGTTGACACGATATGCCGCCTTTGAAGATCGAGGGAAAATCGTTTCGTCGTCGACACGGTTTCCGTACGCCATGGCTCTTTGTACTGCTTAATCTTATCGCCGTTCCCGTTATCGTCTTTACACGATCCGGTACGATCTCCTCTCTCTCTCTCTCTCTCTCTCTTTCTTCGATAGTCGCGGTCGAACTCCATCGAGTCGTGACTCTCCGCGAGTCTCATGTTTATTTAAAAGCACGCGGTGATCGCCGGTTGTAATCGAGGACACTGTTCGAAAACGGAGAAATCCGTGAGTTTGTCGTCCGATAAGGCGTCGATAAGCTCTCGTCGAGACGACCAACGTTTCTTTCGTGGAAAGAGATGGAATTGGAAAGAAGTGAAAAGTCGAGGAGTTTGTCGGTTGTTGGTAATTGGTCAAGAGATCGCCGTGTCGCGACGATCCGTTTGAAGTAACGTTTCAGGAAAGAATGTCTGAAAGTATCGACCCGCTTTATCTGGTTCGAAGTTTTTCCAACGAAATTTCCGTGAGTGCAACGAACTTTACGCCTCTCAACCATTATCGCCTCGTTTTTTGTCCGAGAGAGAGAGAGAGAGAGAGAGAGAGAGAGAGAGAGAGAGAGAGAGAGAGAGAGAGTGCCTCACCCCCTCCCCTCTCCTCCCCTAAGATACGACAAGTTCCTCGGTCTATTTGCCCGGTTAGATACACCGGCTATCTCGCGTGTTTTTGAGGAAGGTTAAACAAACTTGCGACGCCCGAAAACCGGCGAAGATTACCCGCTGTTTGTCGAACGATGCATCATCCCTCGCAAACAGAGCGCGCGAGATTCCTTCCTTCCTTCCTTCCTTCGTTTGGGGATGGAGATTCGGCTCGGCCAGCTCAAGAGACGGCTCGTATTTGCTCGCGTCGTGAAACACTTAACCGAACCTGTCCCTCTCCATTTCGATCGATCGAGAAACGAACGAGAACGTACCGAATCGAACAATCGGAAAATTTCGAATTCGATTCTTTCGTCGAAGGAAACGAAGCATTCCAAGGAATAATCGCGTGACGCGTTTGATGAAACAATGCCACGAAACAAGACGAATCCTCCCCCCAAAAGGCACGTATGTGTGAGGATAACGATAAATCGCGCGAGACGTAGACGCGATGGCGGCCACTTTCGCGTTTCTCACGGAATGCATTAACGCGTTTCCCGGGCTCGTCTACGAGCATCCACTCGGCGTCACACGGTGCACGAGCTTCACAAGGATGTTTAGCAAACACTCGGAAAATTCGCTGCATCACCTTTCGGCTGCTTGGCGTTCGGCAAACAAGCCGAACCCCGGTTGGAGCGTTTCCAGAAAAGCTGTCGCGTAGGCGCCGGCGTCCACGAATAATCTCCTCGAGATCCGATCTTTATACGAACATTCTCTCTCTCTCTCTCTCTCTCTCTTTGTCTCTCGAAAGATCTGGCAATTTCTCTCTTCCGACCGATCCGAGGACCACTGCTTCCATTAACGTCTGCGGTGGACGGCGAGGGTGGACGTAGAAAGCGCAAGCGTGGTACAATATCGCGGGTAATACGATAACCACAATGGACTATTTCGGCATCAACCTGTTCCGCAAAGCTCTGCCCTTCCCGTTTGAAGTTCCCGACTCGAGGCGCCGGCCGAACGGCTCCCTTTCACGATCCACCAGGCCGAACGAAAGGATTTCTAAATACTCGTTCGCGGTATTTGCGGATATCCGTCGGGTAGTCCCCGCTAGGCCTCGAAATACCTCTCCGCCTCGAAGCATGCAGCGCAGCCACCGCGAGAGGGGCAGGGGAGGTGTGTGTGTGTGTGTGTATGTGTGGGAAACACAGGGGGTGGCGATCCGGGGATGGGAAGGAGAAGGGAACAAACGACGGGACCTTCTCTCACGGGGCGCCTGCAATCCGATCCTCAAAGCCCATCGAGTAAATACACCCGCGCTATCCGAGGGGGAGGGGATGGAAGGAGCGTTTAATTAATTCCATCCAATATACCGGTGTGCGCCGGCTGGATGGAACGCACCCGCCTGCGTTTTCCACTATACGTATCGTACGTGTTGTTTATGTATGCTCGTACGAGTGCGTGGCCAACTCGGTGGTCGTAGCGTTTGGTCAAAGCTTAACGCGTTAACGTTTTAGATTCCGTAGTGGATGCATCGAATTGTTTTTGACGAAACGTCGCGCATTTTTCTTCGTCTCGCTCGAAATTTATGTATGTATGTATGTATGTATGTATGGTATAGTGTTGATAGTGTTGGGGATAGAGGAAAGGTGCGTGCATCGTTGCGGCAAGTTGATATTTCGACGGAGTCGCAGTCTGCCGTCTGCTCTTTGCGTGGGCAAACTCCAGCTGTTCGCGATCGGAAGAACGCTCGAGTGCCCGCGCTCCTGACCCATATCCCACGCGTGACTTCCGTCGCTCGATTCAACGTCGCTCGATTCTCGCGACCCAGCAACGATAAACCGAGATCGAGGATGTCCGATTACGAAGTAACTCGTGTGTTCGCATCGCATCCCATTGTCGAGATCTATATTATTGTAGAAACGTATGTAGTATATACGTATATCTATGAATCCGAACTAATAAGAGATAATGGGGTTAGATAATTGAATCCGCGAGTGAGACGTGAAACGTCAGAGTGTGTGTATGTGTGTGTGTGTGTGTGTGTGTAGAAAGAAAAGCCGACGAAATTCTCCCTTCTGTGATCACCGAGTCTCCGTGAATTAAACGCTCGCCAGAGCAAACAACAGCGACACGCGTCACTTTACGCGACGACTTTGTCTCGTTCCAGCCCCCGCGGAATTACCCCGACACGGAGAGTCTTGTCATTCAACCCCGTCACCGGCTCGTCGACGCATTGTGTCAGCCCCCACGAAGCCTGCACGGGACGGTGGAGGGCACCACGGTGCAGGCTCATCGTGAAGGGCGGCGTAGAATCTCGGGGAGACCCTGGAATCTCTCACTCTCTCTTTCTCTCTCTCTCTCTCTACTCGCACCCTTCCGACGTGGCGCTGCTTCTTTTTTTTTTTTTTTATTTTTCCTTTCCACCGAGTCACCGTTGTGTGTTCACGCTCTAAAAGGACGACACTGGTTTCCGTCCTCCCCGCTCGCACGACTGCCACTCCACATCGCTGAACGCACGTCTCGCTCGCACCCTCGTGAAAGAAGTCTGCCACGCAGAGCACGAAGAAAGAAGAATCGCGGAGGAGTGGGGATAGCAGGCGCAGCGACTGGAGTGGGGAGACGAGGCGCCGGATGGGGGTAGCTCGCAACGTGATAGAGGAAGGAGAAGTGGTGGGGATAGGGAACGGAGCGAAGCCTCCGAACGGTCGGGCGAAAGCGACGAGCAACAGTGTGCCGCGCGCCACCGACGAGCAAGTGTTGTTGTGATCCGTGTGCTCGGGTAAGCGCGTGTTTTCGGAGGTTCGGAAGTGCATTCGAGAGTGACATTGCTGTTATTACGTGGAGAAACGTTACGTGTTCGATCACGTAACGAGTGCGTAGAAGCTTCTACGAACACGCGTTTCGACATCGGATGTGCGGATGACGACGCGACAGTTGACACCGATGGATACGTGGGAGTCTTCGACTTGTGTTAAACAGTGAAGTTTTTCGTAATGATGGTACGGGTTTCGTGCGGGTGCGAAATCAACGTGTCTCGACCGAGTGAGAGAGGATAAATGGGAATGATTCGAGTGCGGGAGGAATAAGTGCATCGTTTTTCGACGACCAGTCTGAAAAATTGATCTTCGTGTCCGTTAAACGGCGTATGGCTCGCGATCGGTCGATTTTGTTTTTGCCGTGGAGATTCGTAACGACGCTCCGGCACGTAGCACAACCGTCGTCCAACCGTTTGTTTGTAAACGGACGTGGAAGAAACGCAGAGAAGAAAAGAAATATTCGTCGACGACAGGTGATTTCGAGGATAGTGATCGCTATTCCTGGAACACGTTGTTACGGTGGCCGAGTGATACGTGAAAGAAAACAAAAACGACGGAGTGATTTCGCATCTACGCAGGGGATATAATATACCATATTGGAATAGGGGGAGAATAAATCCTGCGATAGGGTGGTGCGCGGAGAGGCCCGCAACGAGGAGGGTGACCGTATTTTCGAAGGAAATGCGCTGCTAGCAAATCGGCAAGGTGTCGCCCGAATTTTTGAGGTAGGCCATCAATTTGATTCACGGCTCAACCGCGCCGCGATAATCGTTCGCGAAAATGCTCCGTACGGAATATTAGGATAGACGTGGCGACAATTATACGTAGAAATGTGCGTGAGTGGTGCGGTAATTGCTTCGGGAAATGGACCATATCGTCGAAGCTGTGAAAGCCCGTTACAGTGGAAACATAGCTTTTCGAGTCGCGTGCAAATTACAATCGGCGATGTTTCGGCGTCGGCACGTGGACGAGCCGGCCAGTAGCAAAGTTGGCCGCAAAGTTGCGACCAGTTTCGCGAGATTTTTTCCCCTCGAAAGAGGATTACGCCCCCGATACGATTTCAAAAACCGGATGTCCCACCGAATATCGTCCCTATCGTAAAACCCTTAGGATCGTGGGCAACGATAACGTATACGCGATATCGATTTTAGATTTTAGAGATGGCCGTCGGATCGACTCGAAAATCCATCCCCCGTCAAAATTGTCGCGCGGATCGAGTTTCGAACGAATTCTCGAATGCCTCCCTCTCGCGTGTCACAACAGGGTGTTTCCATTCTCGAATTGTTCCCAACGCGTGATCGCGATGGCTCAGTCAAGATCCTTCACCGAGACCGACATTTTTCCACGGTTAACGTAATACGATAGCTCTGCGAAGCTCTCCGGATCCAATTCGTCTGCGGCAGACGTTCGCAGACGAACGATGAAATGTAGGAGAGAGAGAGAGAGAAAGAGAAAGAAACGGAGAGAATGATAGGGGGAAAAGAGACGGGAAACAGAGAGAAATTCCGCGAGAGTGTGTCTTTGGGGGTGGTGGAGAAATGCAGAACTTAATGCAACGAGCAAACAAATAAAGCATCTCCGACGGGGATTGAAAAGAGTCGACGTGCCGCGGAGATCGATATTCGCGACTCGCTGCGAAACGTCGAGCGGGATTAACGCACGCTGCCGCGGAAATACGCGTCGACGGCCTGTGCCTCTCTCGCGCTTTTCCACCGCGCTTTTTCCTTTTTTCTTCTTTTTTTTTTTATCCTCTTCTCTCATTTTTTTCTTTTTTCTTTTTTTTTTTTTTGTAGCGAATTAAATCGGCACCGGTACGCGTCGACCGTCGCCGATTCAGTTCCGCGCTCGTTCGGCCTTTTCAACAACGAGGGCTCGTGCTCGTTCACCTGTTGGTTAATTTCCATCGAATCACGGGGATGTTTACTCTCGATTACCCCCCGTAATGGAGAATTTTCATCGCGGTAATTAAGCGAATCCTGGAATCCATGCAGCGTCGGGAAATACACTCGGTTCCATTTGCGAAATTACCAGGGAGGGGGGCCGTCGCCGATCCTCGAAACGCGCAACGCGTGGTATCGCGATATTTCTACGTAGCGGCGACCATTAAAACATCCTGGTTGGCGACGGTGGAACGTTTCCGCCGAGGTTCGATTTAAACCAGTTCAACCTCCTGCTACTCTTTTCCACCGCGGAGCGCGTGCCACCGAACGGAGATGAAATTAGAAATGATCTCGAGACTCCCACGAACGGGATCTTGGATGGCGGGGAGAACCGTGCCTGCCGTTGACAGTTATTAGGAACTTATGGGGCGAGAGTTCACGGTGAAAACTCGAGACCAGAGACCCCCGAGTTCCTGTTCGAGACGCGCTTATTTTGGTTTATTTTGACCGTGCACAAAACCGTGCTCGTGCTTTTTCCCTTTGCCTTTGTTTCGACCTCGAGTTTCGACCCCCGTTTCTCTCTCTTTCTCTCTCTCTCTCTCTTTTATTTATTCCGTTCCGAAAATTCGACGATGATTAGAGAACACGAAGAAAAATGGCGCTTTCAAATTTTTTCCAAGAGATGGAGGGAGGGGGGGAGGGATTTAAATATCGATAGAAATCGAGAGGAGGCTCTTATTGCAAGGCTCGATCGGATTCGTATTTCCAAAGGTGTTGAAAATGCGCGCGTGTATGCGGAACGGCGGTCACAGGGAGGCTCGTTCGAATCGAGTTGAAAATTTAAACGCGCTTTTTTTTTGCGTATCGCGAAACACAACGCCACTAATCCATTCTCTTTTCAAAGAGAGGGAACGAGCTCGATAAATCGTTCCGAGCATCGGGAAAAAAAAAAAAATCTCTCGCCATGGAACACACCTTCATTCTCCTCGCTAATTCGTAAGAATGCGCTGCGCTTTGTACGCGAGGGATGCGTGATAATGGAGCGTCAAATTCGTTGAATAAATCCGCGCGACTGCGCGTAAATATTTCAGAAGGAACCACCGCAGCCTGGAAAAAGCGAGCTAGTCGCGTCCTTGACAGTGGAATAGTGCAGAGAATCGGCACCAGATGGAACCACCGCACGGTATTCCACGCGGATCGACTTTCGTTCTTTTTAAAACTCGAATGGGTAGAAAATATAGCGATGGTTCACAATTTAACGAGGTTGTAAATTGAATCGTTATGAAGAGTGCGAACACGCTACACTTATAATTAGACTCGTGTATCGAGTTTTTTTCAAGTTTTTTTTTTTTTTTTTTTTTTTCTTTTTCTTTTTCACCAAGTTTTTTGCTCGAAGTCTCAGGTCGTTATCTGATCGTAGATCTGTCGAAACGCTAGGCATCCATACGTCATTACATTTACGTTCCATTGATTTTTACGACTTTCCTCGTATAATGTGGGCCCGATATAATATATAATACGTGTATATATACGTACACGCAGAACGATAAAACGTAACTATTGTTGATTCCTCCTTAACGACGTTTTAAGGTCTACTCGATAAAATTTCGATAATGTTAGTTGCGGTCGAAGCATTTCATTTGTTCCACCGTATCGCGCTAGAAAAATGTTAATGTCTATTCGCTCTATACTCGTCGATAATGATCCAAAACTAACGTCTCAATTTGACAAATTGAGAATCGTTCTCTGAAACCCATCTAAAATCCATCGGTTCGATAATTCCCGGTTTCTCGGAATAGAATAGGTAGTTAAAAGTGAGACGTTAATAAAGGGGCGTGAGTTAAGTTGCCGATAACAGCAATTGGAAACCGAACTTTCCAATTGTTGGACGTATCGGTAGGAGGATCCCCGCTGCTCGATCGTCGTAAACTCGGCTTGGAACTTTGGAAGCGGAATCTCGTAAACGGCAAAGGGTAGCTCGACTGGCGCGTAACACCCACACGACACTTGCTCCCCTCACCCTCTCGTGTCACTGGATACCTGTGCGCGCGCGGGGGTGCTCTCTATACGCTCTCGAAGTCGGTCCCCTCGCCGGAGGGTCTCGGTTTAATAAAGCACCGGTGAGAAACGCGAAACACGTGCGTGCAAAAGTTCTCCCCACGGAGCGCGCGCGTAACGACGTTCCACGGGCGAGAAAGAGGAAGAAAGGAAGGAAGGAAGGAAGGAAGGATGGGGATGGGAGGAAGAAAGTTAGGAGGGCGGTTACGCGCCGTACCAAGCAGGGTGGAGTTAGTTTTAGATGTCCCGTTACCCTTCCTTTCTTCCCCCTGTTCTCGAACGAACCTCGAGGGGTCGAGGTAAACGATCCGCGTCAGAATTTTCGTCTCGCGAAATTATACCTGTATAGATGGAGATAGGCCCGCGTCAAATACGAAATACACTTGGATAGGCGCTTGACAAATATCGGACGGTTTAAACGACGAAGCGTTTCTCGAAATTGGGGCGAATTGGTGTCGTGAACTTATTATTGGAAAATTGAGTCGTTAACCAATGCTCGACCAATGAAATTCTCGAACGATGAAAAATCCTTGACGCGCGGAGAATTGAATCGAGAGATGGAAAAAGAAACGAAACGAGGGGTGAGTCTCTGTTACCGAAATCAAAGAGGATGCGAGGTTTGTTTCCATGGACGAATGGACGAATTCGCGACAATTTCGATTGGGGATTGTCAGATTTCTGGGACTGGCGATTGTCCCACTTGTGACGAGAGAGTATCGATGCCGGGGGGAGGGGAGGGGAGGTGTGCGATTCTGTGCCGGTTGTCATTCTAACCCCCGTCTCCGCGCTCTGTCTCCGCGTGTCTGCAAACACTCTCCGCCGGTGTATCATCGCCGGGGAATCGATGGCGATTCGTCAAACTACAAATATTTAGAGAGCACTCGGTGCGGCGCTCCTCTCGTCGATTGCGCGTAATGCGTTTTATAAATTCATCCCCGAACTCTCGTTCTCGAAGGAATCCGACTCTGATTTCTTGCACCGCGAAATAATAAGAGATAGAAGAAGATACGGACGAAAATTAGTAAGGAAAGCGAGAGAAACGATGGAATATCCTGCATGGATTCTGGAATGAAAGGAACGAAAGGAGAGTCCAGTCTCTGGTCGAGTCATTCTGTCAAACATCGTTCGATTTATTTACGACTCGCGTAGTCCTCCAAGGATCGTTATGCCTGGAAAATTATAGCGCGTGGGCGACCCGCGTATTTCCCGATGGCCGCAGATTTACGGATCGTTAAGTCTTGCGAATTTACACGTTTCTTTTCGCCGTGCCTCTATTTGCGGCCGTTGCCGACGTTTCATCGTAGCCGCGCGCGCGCTTTGTTTGCGGTCGAGGCAGAGGAGACGTTCGTATCCTCGCGTGGATAGTCGGCTTTTAGCCGGGAAGATCGATTTCAAATATCACGCGGTGATTATCCGTTAACATTCCGCGTTTTATTGGATGTAATAAAAACTTTTGAGACGAACGAAAAATTTCCCGGAGATTCTTTTACAGGTTCGAAGAGAAATATCATTTTCCGCTTCGTTCGATGGGCTTTGGGAAAGTAAAAGAGTTGGATATGAAAAAAAGAAAAGTACAATTTCTCGAAAAAAAAGAGAAAGAAAGAAAGAAAGAAAGAAAGAAAGGGGGGAAAAGGGCGCGTGAAACGTTTCAACTGCGGAGGAAATGTTAGGAGGAAGAGAGATCGCCCTTTGGGGAATAAAGGCGGGCGCAGAGGTTATTTCTGGATCGCGAAAAACTTTTAATAGCTTTCTGATAGCTTATTGGTCGGTCTTATAAATACTTTCAT